TTGAGAGCTAATTTCCAGCTGTTTCACCAATCAATGTTTCAGTTTTTATCTTTTTTAAAATTTAAATCGTTAGGGACTGTTTATTTGTGCACTTTAACCAGTGCATACATTCATATTTATCCATACCAGTTATTAATACCAGACTGACACAGAAACAGCCCTTTGATGAAAGTGGATGTACGGGCATAGGCAAACTGTCAATCTCGACCAATGGGCGAAGCCGCTGTCACCAGGAGGCGGGTCTTTCGAGTCAGCACGTTTGAGTGCACACTGCGTTGAGACAACTTGATACAGAGTAACAGTAAATCAGACAGAGCTGCTCCTACAGCACCAGCAGTGAAATTGTAACCCTGTTGCAAGTATTTTTGGCCGCTGATAGGACCGAGTGAGATCACTGCGGTCTCTTTCCTCGGATAGACTCAAGAGTTGTTCGGCAAGAGCAACGCAGGGACCGTTTTAAGTCTCATTTCTGCCCTATCTTAATTTTATATCACACTGGAAATGTCCGAAAACAAGCCGAATGATGAACCGAAGTTATCTACGACGGACAGGGTGGTGAAATGTAAGTGTTGCTTTTTGTGTCATATTGAAACGAGACGCTACCACAGCTCTGGGTCTGACCAGCACAAGCAGACTTGAAGAATTCACGGTCGCAGCAACAGCGGGCGGCAAATGTAGTCGAAAAAAAATTGTTTGCTGGCTAGGGAGGAAGAAGGGTGTTAGCCGAGCTATGACAGCAGCAGTAAACTAGGAAGTGAGGGTAACTCCAGTTTGTAGACCAGAGCAAGAATTTAGCATGAAATGTGTCACTGTCTGTGCGCGAGGCGTTAGACGTGGTACAGCCGCTCGTCTGTAAATACTCGTTTTTTTTTTGCTGTTTTTTCCCCCCTATTATTAGTGAATAGCACACTACCAGCGGTGTGACAGATGCATGAGCGTTTCGATTCATATACAGTGCACAGGTTTACAGTATGCATGCAGATGTTGCACAACCGTTGCATTCAACCCCAAGGGCGATTTTCCCTCATTTTGCATGCATCGTCAAACAGTTATACCAAGGCTCCTCTTCTCTCTCTCTCCCCCTCTCTCCATTGCATAATACTGCTTGATGTCGTCTATTTTGTAATCTCACATTTGGGGGTGTTCATCGTGTGCTTTGTTCGTGTCACACACGGTGGTTCTTCCTGCACTCTGTGTTTACACGTCTGACATTCCACCTTTGCAGTCTACCATAAGAATGCAATAAAGATCATAATCGAGGCAGCCTTCCCTCGAAATAGGAGCAATGCAGCCTGCCCAGTTTCGTGTCACTTGACGTCTCATGTGTACTTAAAGGCAGCACACTTAAGTTGCAGCATTCAAGCCTATTTCTGTGTTCGCATGTGGGCACTTCAAAGTGAAAAATACCCCCCTCCTCCTTTCTCTTGTTGGAAGACAAAAGCTTTTCCACACAAGTGAGATGACAGAATGTGTTTACTCCTGCTTGCTGGCACTAGTTACAACCCCCCAAAAATCCTCTGCAGCTCCAGCCCAACAGGGATGTGCAGGGATCACAGTGTACACACACACAAGGGGACTGTTGAGTGATTTTTATTTAAGTTTAGCTGGTTGAGTTCAGTCGATTGAAATGATTGGATCATCTCTGAGCATTAAACGTCAAGATTTATGCAAGAAAGTTGGAATGAGTCAGTCTGGGATTGTTGACTCTGTGTTAAAAGACGAGGTTGTGCACCTGGTTGCTCAACTCAGTAAGGAATACAGCTCTCCCGTGTTGCTATCTCGGACTTAGGACTTGACACTTGAAACAGAAGAAAACGTTTCACAAAGATATCTGCAGCAGTTTTTTTGCAGCTACATTTTGCTCCAAAAAATAAGGGGTTGAGTGTTAAGAGTCACTGCATGTCTTGGGTGCTTTTTGTAATGAATATTTCAAGAGATCATACCCCTACAGTCTCCACCAACTTGAAGGCTAATGAAAAATATATGTGACAAGCATCAGTTTTAAAGAGACAACAATATCACTGGGTGACCGGTCTTGTTGCATGGATCTGAAGCTACATCTTCCTCTGTCATGCAGAGGAGATGCCAGATCTTCATGCTCGGCTCTGTGGATATTAATCGGGTTGAAATGTATCGATTAGACGTTAGAGGGCCCTGTCAGTTAATCTCGGAGGCCTGTTTCTGTGGCTCACTTTTAAACCTTGTGTCAAGCTCAACAAAGTAATTTTGCTCATTTTTCATTCATCTAGTTTCGAGGACTCAGTGTTTTGGTAATGCATCAGTATTATGACAACACAGGCGCTAGCTGTGTACAAAGCACCTCTCCAAAATAACTGCAGGCTATAGGTGTGAAGTAATTTGTTTTCAGCTGCCTAGCTTGCCGTGCTACAAGGTGTCAGTCCAACTTATCATAAGTGCTTTGCATCCACCTGTTTTCAAAATGCATTATCATAATGCTCCTGAAAGCCAGCGCTGCATAGTAATTGAGTTTAATCAGCTAAGGCGAGAGAAGTTGCTTAATTTTTCTTGTGCTTTCATCACTTGCAGGAATAAACACGTGAGCAATTTCCAGTATATATTTCAACAGACTTGACTGTGTTTGTAGCTGTTTTTTTAATATTGTATATAATGCTTGGTGGATCATCACTGGATGACCTTTTTTTTTTTAATGCTCGGTTAATTAAGTGGAGTTTAAATAAGGATTATCATGGGTCTTATGGTAATCCTGATTATTTTGTCAGAATTCGTGGTCATGATTTTTTGTTTTATTTTGCTACAATTAACAGCAAAGCTTTTTCATTATCGACTAATGAGTCATTTAGTCTTTTATTTTGAAAACCCTGTTTACATTCTGATATTGCTGAGTTTTGTCCAGCACTGTATAAAGCAAAGATGTAGAAATGTCACATAAAAAGTTGGTAATATGGTTGTCATGGTGCAGTCGTGACAACCTCAGCACGCCAAAGTAAAGCAAGCGCACTAATAGTGTTTTTCCATCAGCGACCGAGAAACTGGGCCTCCGAGCCCCCAGCGGTGCGCTGGGTGCTTCTCTGCGAGTTGGGGATGGATAACATCTGACATTTGACTTTTGAGAAGAGGCCCCCATGCTCAGACATGCGTGGGCTGGAGAGACGGCGGTGGTGACAGCGGCGCGATGCCAGCCACTGATCCCAGCTGGAAAGCCGAGTCATTTATAGAACAGAACATTAAGTAATGCCACAGACTTGATCCTCGCCTTACGTGCGATCACCTGCACACAGACCCGCCGCATCGTGCTCATAAAGCGACCTGTGTGCCATCACAGTGTTTCTTTCTAATCGAGTACAAGCGCTGTGTATTGCAGAGCTATAAAATTACCAGTCGTGAGTAATTTTCCTTGAGGTGTTGTCATTCTGAGTAATATTTCCTCATTACAATTCATAAACCTTGTCATCAGGTTTGTTTGCATGGGAATAGGATTGCTGTGAGAAAGTCAGGTGATTTATAACCATCGAGGTTGTTTATAATTTTAAACCTGTGCCAGTCTGCTCTGTCTGTAATTTGTAATGTTAAAATTTCAACTGGGATTTAAAAAAAAAAATTTCGGTGACGTTTGTGTTACCTTCCACTCGTACTTTGGTTTGGCACATAATTTCTTCATCTTGCGAGCAGTCACTTTTATTCAGAGGGAGTAAGGACGTACATTTGTTGCTTTGTGAGACGGAGACAAAGCAATAAAGATGGCATCAAATTGTCTTAATTAAATTGGAGTTGCAGAGATGTGTTGTGATGAGACAAATACGTTACACTCTGTTAAGTTGTTCTGCTACTAATGAATAGAAAGAACCCGTTTGAAAGCGTTAATAGAAGAAGAGAGGCACTTTTGGCCATTATTTTATTTCACTTAAGTGTAGTGGGATACAAAAAACATGCTCTGGGAGCTTAAACATAATGTTGGGTTAGTAGGTTTGTGAGTAATTAATCAACATTTCTGTGATCAAGTTATTTTTTTAAGGAGAGTTGCAGTGAGTGGCTGTATTTCTTCATCTCATGAGACAGCAAACAGATTGTAGCTGCTCCTGTGTGAGTGTGTGAGAGCAGCAGTTAATCTAAGGCTGCGATTGGTCAGACAGCTGACCCGTGGGTTGCTCGAGCCGATGCTCCAGAGCAGGCACTTAAATGTCAAATTGTCAATTTCATACCAAGTCTAGTTTAATTATCTTGGGAAGGAAATATCATCTTGATCTAAAAAAAAATAAAAAAATATATTAACTGTGCACGATCAAAAAGGAGTTTGGGAGGCTCCAGCTGCTGTCTTGCATTGCGTTTCAGTGCCAGCTTTCTGAGTTATTCCAGACAATGAGTTTGCAAGGTTTAGTTTTTGCTTTCTGCTTTTAAACTCTTGAGAAAAAAAGTTAGTAGGTCACTTTCCTAGGTTTCATAAGTCATCAGGGCCGCCACTTTCCAATTCCTTGACATATCTCCTTCGCATGCGAAGAAGTCTGGGGTTAGGAGCCTGAGGGAGGGTGGGCCACCTCCTCCACCTTTTGAATCTTCTGACAGCAGTCCACTCACTCAGCTCAACTCTGAAATGTCTCCCATAGCTGCAGCAAGGTAACCGAACTAGCTATTGGTGCCTGTCATGTATGTGCTTGTCTGATCTCCTGTGAGGTTTCCTTTTTTTCTTTTTGAGATTTGATGGTTCTGATAACAATGCATTGCATCATGGCCTGAAAGGGAAGACCTGCGCTATCTCTGTTGTGGTACAACAGTAAGATATACGGTCTGTGGTATTCCAAACCAGAGTAAGTGCACCTTTACTGCTCATTAGATTAAAGAGGAATTAGGCTCTGTTGTGGATTTGGGGCACAGCAAAGCAGCGGATTTGGACAGATTAAGCTCCATATAGGGGGATAAAGGCAGCTCTGCTCAGAGGTTGTAATCTGACTCCATGCATTAGCTGCTGCTCTTGCTAATTCATGTGAACAAATGGATGTTGGTTTTCGAGGGGAGAAAAAGTGTTTACCTACCTTTGCATTTTCAGGTTGTTGCTAAGCCTGTGAGTATATTTTGGGGATTTTCAATCCTTTGAACTTGTGCTGTTGATACACTTGTCTAACCAGTACACATTTATAAGCAGCAGTTCTGTAGCTTATATGTTGATGGAAGCTGTTTTACTTTGGCTTTTTAATGTAGCTGCTTTCTTCATAAGGTGCCTTTTAATCACCAAATGTAAAAAATGTAAAATACCCAGAGTAGCATCTGTGACCCAGTGACTATAACACTGTTTAATGGTTTTTTGGGGTTAATCCTCAGTTTTTTTCCCATTTCATAGCATATACACACCGACACATGTTGCTGCTGCTGCCGTGAGCTACAGTGGCTAACAAAAGCCATTTGCAGCAGAGGCAGGAGTTATGTGTCATTGGATCCCTCTCTAGAGTTGGTTGCAGAACAGTCACAAATCAATCAATATAGTGTCTGCAACACATGTAACTACAGGCTGCGCTCCCAGTACAATGAGTGTGGGGGAGGAGAAGCTAACCCAGTGAACTGGGAGCAGTCGGGTGGCTGGGTTATATT